TTAAGGGTCCGAAATTTTATTGGATTTTTCTAGAAAGTATTAATAAAATTGCTAATAATCTACTATATATAAATTTCTAATGTCCGTCCGTTCGCGCGACCGGGAATTCAGCCAAATCCGGCATTCAAATTCCAAATTCAAATTTTTTTCGGGGGTGGGGGAGGGCCAGCGCTGAACCGCCGCGTAGCGGGGGGTCAGCGCTGGTCTTCTATTTAAACTTTTGGATAAAAAACTATAATTATTTTTATTAAAACAAAAATTAGCATACATCTGAAATAGTTAAAGCTACTCCTAAATCAAAGATCCGAAACGTGGAAGTGATCATTTCCGGAAAACCGATTCGCTCGTCTGTGCTTTGCAAACTTTATGATTCATCAAAATCAACAAATCTCAGGTCGATGAATCGAAAATAGTTTGATTCTTCGAATTTTCGGTCGCCAGTCCTTCCGTTTTCCTGAAAAACCTGACATCACTTTCTTCATTTCCAAAAATTTTTTGACAAATTTTCGACCTGCTAGATCTTTGATTTTTCACCCCCAACCTCTAAAAGTCTTCTCGAAATCTCTGCAAAATTTTGCTGAAAATCTGTTTGCTAAAAATGCCTAAAATGCACGAGCGACTCAATTTCTAAAGATGGCCCCAATCTTGCGCGAGAAACCAGTGAAAAATCAAAGACGGGGAAGGTTAGAAACGTGTGCACCTGACCACGATACCGACACCACGTCAAATATTTGCACAATTTTTGGACAGACAATATAAAGACAGTCTCGCGTAGTTAGTTCCTTCAAATTCGCTAAAAATCATCACCTGCGAAAAGCTATTATAGCCTTAAAAATGCAAGGCGAGCAATATTCGATTCGAAAGGTCAATGGGGAGACCATTTTTGAGGAGGTGAGTTGGAAACGAAACGCTTAAATAACCATGATAATTTGTTCCGTAAGCCTCAAAAATACATCGCTTTCAATCCCCATTTAAAGCGGGGCATTCAATTTCGCTCTAAATGCTAATTTTCCATTTAAACCCAATCAAAATTGGCCGTCTCTCAAGTTTTTCAGATGCCTTTAAATTAAAATATAGTATTCTGCATCTTAAATAAGGATGACGAGTGAGCGCGATACACAGGGAAAGAGAGAGAGAGAGAGAGAGAGAGAGAGAGAGCGAGAAGAGAGTGATCGAGAGAGACACAAAGCGAGAGAGAGACACACACAGAGAGAACCAGGGGAAGAACCGTCTTCTAAGTTTCCGCGACCTTACTGGACTTTCTAGCCTTTTCGAATGCGCTGGAGTCCAATTTTTCTAATGAGCTTCCCGGTATGAATATAATCATGCGCTTCTACAGTGCTCCACATAATCTTAGGTCCACCTCCAAAAATCGGCAAATAAAAATTTTCCACTTCTTGGCAAAAAGTTAGCAACATGACCTTCTCGCTTCTAGTATTTAAAGTTTATACCAAAAGCGCCAATGCCGATCAACGGTTAGACAAAATCATTAGCTAGAAAAACATGAAAAAACCATTTTTTGCGACTCCACATAATCTTAGGTCCACCCGGCTTTACGAAAAAACGCGTGGGCCCAGGGTGCTTAATCGAAGCTCTTTTGCTTGATCACAACCTAAGCTACTCATTGAAACGAAAAAACTGGGTTGCCAAGCCCTGGGACGATTTTTGAAAAATTGGATTTTAACAAAGGAATTTGCTTTTTTAATTCTAAAAAATCGATTATTTTATTTAATTGTTTTATTAATTAATTAAAATATTTAATTAACGTCAGGCTGCGACACATGGATCAGGCCCGGGACATAGCCCACAGCACGAACCAGCATCCGCATGAGATCGTGGCCTAGTGGATAGTGCCGGCGCCTATCAAACTTTTGCAAAATTATGCCCAGGGTTCGGAACCTATTGTGATTTATTGTTTTGCTTTTTGGTTTTTCATGCCATTGAAATCGAATTTGGCATTATCGAGCAAAAAGCAAAAGAGTTTTACTAGCGAGGAGTCGAACCCGCTGGCAAAAAAAGACAAAAACTTATGAAGCAAGCGCACTACCAATAGGCCGGCTGGTCATGGCTGGAGGGAGGCCTATAGGGGGCTATGTTGACGCGCACTCAGAGCGCAGAATCTGTGGATCAGGCGGAAAATGATGGTTAGATTAATTATTTTCAAATTAATTTTTATTGAACAGCGCAATAAACTGCAGGTTAGCAGATTTGAAAAACGACATCTTGTTCAGAATTTTTTCCTCTATCGAACTAGCTAGGTCTCGTGCAAAAACTCCAATATCACCTAAAAACGACTCCTTGTAAGATTATGTGGAGCACTGTATTATAATTGAAGTCCAAGAACAAGAGCGATGGCTAGAGACATAGGGAGAGAACTAAATAGAAAGAGAGAGAAAGAGCGAGAGAGAGAGAGTGAGCGAGAGAGTGAAAGCAGGAGCAAAAGAGAGGTACGGAATGGTTGGGTTTGGCCTGCTTTTTCCACAAAACCCTGCAACCTGCCATTCCGCGTCCAAATTAATCACTCGGCGACTGACCCCGACGGCGGGGGGGGCTTCACGTAATCCAGAGATCCTCTGCTTTCGACCTGCCTGTTGTTGGGGAGGCCCTTTAAATTAAGTGGTGGAAGATTGATGGGGAGGAGCAGATAGGGGGACCTTAGGGCCCAGACCTGAGCCCATGGGCCTATTCCTTGGAAATGGACCCAGCCACATGCTTTCCGCAGCTACCCCCGTCTTCGACAATCTTTTTTTGCCCTGATTTCAGCGCGTGTCCATCCAGGAGCTTGCCGTTAGAATGGGTGTTGATTGACAACGTGGCTATTGAACTTTTGAGCTTTGTTTGACCTTGCTTTAAAATAGGATCGAGATCTAAAAATTCTAAATTAAAATCTAGGGAACAACTGATGTAAGTCATTAAAAAATCACCAGCTTAGATAGATTTTCATGAATTATTTAAATTTCTCCACCTGAGATTCCATAGATTTCCATGAAAATCGCTAATTTGCCTTTTTAATAACTTTAAAAATTTATTCTCCGGATTTAGCCTCTCATCTGAATTTTTTTGAAAAGGAAGTTGAAACCTGGGAGGCCTAAACGGAAGAGTACGATTGGATTTATCGAAAAAATAAAATTTCACAGCCTCACTGAAAATAATTCTCTCCATTCCACCCTAAATCGTAGATCACTCCGGGCATGTAATTTTGCCCTTCTTTTCCTGATCTAGCAACGATAAGAAGGGACGGAGAAAGCAAAACAGCGCTGTTCCTAGGCTTTTGAACTTCCGCTTCCGCCATCCCTTTTGCCTTCAGTGGAGCATGGAATTTTACAGCGGCGATTTCAGACTTTAAAGCAGGTTCTGTTTCACAAAAAAAAGTATATTGTTCAGATCTCACTAAATTTACGTTATATTGCATAAATAATCTATGTTCTCTCCTCTTGACCTTTACGCATCAATTGCCTCTCTCTCTCCAGCCTCACGTAATGGTTTATTCAAATTAGAGCGGAAGTTCTAAAGTTCGGTGTCCTATGTAGGTCCAAACTCTGCCCAAAGATCCCGAACTTCAAGAGCCATAGTTTTATTGGTTGTCCTTGGATGGGCATCAGGCTCTCATCAAACATAACCGCTTTCACACGTTTGTGGAACAGCAAGCTTTTTGGGAGGTCGTAAATTGGGGTTGGATTTTTGGAATTTCACGCTTCCCCAGCCTCAAATCAGTAAACCAAATTGGACTTTATTCTGTAGGTTTTCACTAGCTTCATTATGACTCTGATCTACTTCCCCCCGGCTCTCATTGACCCCGCCCAATTCCCACCAGGCCCCAGCAATTTTGAGTTTATGGCACCACATAAAGCGGGAAAGACTCTAGGGAGTTCAGCGTTGTAGCTAGCCTTCGGGCTGCACTGAAATTGCCAAGTTCACTGAACAGCTTGCAATTTTAAATTTGTATCCCAACCTATTATACCATTTCGGAGTCTACTCGATCTGCTCGCCGGAGAAAGAGTGCCAGAAAGAGGCGATAATGACTGAGCACTGCTGGAACTATTATTGTGAGGGATGAGGGAATGTGGTAAGAGTGAGAAATATATAAAAAATTCCGACAGCTTCTTAGAGATTAAGCTAAGCCTAAGCTAAGCCTGGGAAAAGCCTCAAGCAGAATCAAGCTAAGCAATTAAATCAAAGGTCTCTAGATTTTTTAGCTTCTGACTCCTAAATCGTGAATCAGTCGTGTATGCATATTCAGGCCCCGCCCACTGGCCGGCGCCGACGGTCAACAACAGAGCCCCATCGACATCGACCTCTCGACTTGTTGAACGCAAGGATACCACAGTGGACGGCATCAAGTTCACCAAGTATACCAAAGTTCGAAGAACACGCATCACCCAGTAATGGACATTCCAGGTGGGATACCTAGAATATATCATAAAAATTCGAGTTGAGGAGCATTCCATGTTTCTGACCTCTCTTTTCAAATTCTTAAGTTGCATAACACCTACATTTTCGGTCCAAAATCACCCCCACCCCCGGCGTTGAACTCCCCGAAATCTTTGGCGGCAGCGGACCAGGTATATCGCCTTGTGCAGTACCACTTCCACTGGGGATCAACTGGCGAGAGTGAAGGTGGGTGAAAAATTGTAATCATCTGATCATCTCTATTTCAGAGGCCAGAACACACCCTTGGCGGCCTCTCCCAGCGAACTTCACTTAGTACACCGGGAGTCGAGACAGCTCCGTCTGTGGCTGTTCTCGCGTTTCCTCAAGGTCGGCAAGGGCAGTGAACTCCTTAGCGACGTCGAGCAGGCGCTGAAGAGGATGTTGAGCCGAGTAGGTTAATTTACAAGGGTTGGGACTTGCTCGTGGCCCGGTTCGTCTTTTAAAGTTCGTACTTTAAGTTACGACCCGGCGTCACCAGAAGTTCACTTCAGACGCATCCACTTTCTTTCTCGACGCCATCAACTTTATCAGGAGCAAATTGCCGAAGAACACAGGCTCCTTCTTCCGCTATGAGAGGCTCCCTGACATTTCCGCCTTGCAGCGAGATCGTCACCTGGACGCTGTTCACCGATCACATTGGAGATCACCAAAGAAAGGAACAGGTATGGACCACGGCTTTGCTTTGAAAAAATGGCTTCAGCAAATTTAATTAAATTAAGAATATCAAGTTTGATTAAATTTGATATTCTTCAATTAAATTATTAAATTAGCAAATTTAATTAAATTAAAAATACAAAATTTCCAGCTCAACCTCCTGCGCACGCTGAAAGACACGGAGAACAAGTGCCTCAACCGCAACTTTCGCCCCACCCAAAAAACCAACAACCGCACCGTATATCATATTGTGGCGAAGCACTAATGAACCATCGAATTTCCATCCGGTCTATCCGGTTACGTCCGGTTAATCATCCGGTTTACCCATTTTCTAGTCTCCCCAGAACATTCCAAGTTTCCCACCAGATTCTTACAGCAATAATTTTGCACCGCCTTTTCCTTACCCTCAGCCTGAGCAGCAGCTTTATCCCAGCATGTGTGTCATTTTTCCGCTATGATTTATTTTTTCTATGTAAAAACATGTATTTTGCTAGGAGAATAGAGTGCTACCGTATCCCGTGATAGCTTCCCTGATTACCCACCCAGATATGTGTCAAAAAGAGGAAACAGAGAATAAAGTTTTTTGTTTTAGCATCTGTTTAAAATGCAAAACGAGCGTCTTAAGATGGTTTTTTTAATTAGAAAAATCTAATTTATTTAGCTAGCGTTATGAAAAAATTATTTTTTTTTAATTTAGCTGTCGAAAAATGGCTCAAAACGGCTCGAGAAACCTGGAAAATCGGGAAAAGGTAAAATTTATCCGATCGATATTCATCAAAATTAATCACAAACCAGGGTTGAAAAGCCGCTTCGCGACTTTTCAACCCTGGCCCCGTCTTGGACCGCATGCTGTTCTACGCTTTGCATAATTGCGCTGAATTCAGATGACCACAAAAATGAAAATGATTCGCTTGTGACCCTTTATATAGGCGACTTCCTACTTCCGGTCAATGCCTAATTTTCCTAGCGGAAGAGGGTTTTACAAAAACTTAAATTTAATACCGAAAATGGCTGATTTTTATAAATCTGATATGTGGGC